AAAGGGAATATTTACTGATGCCCCAATATTCTAATGGAGGGTTTTAACTGTTCTCTTTCATCTCCTGTTTTGGGGCAAATTTATGCTGCCTTTGATGGTCACAAATCAGTTAACAATGTAGTCTATTGTTTTAAGGCAGAGGCTCTTTGTTGTATTTTGTATAACTGTAATAGGTTTTTAACAACTTTCCTTAAACATTGTCTTGCACACTTGTTTTTGTGGTGTTTCTGATGATCATTCATATAAAAAGTATCTTTTAATATTAAACATTTACAAAATGCTACATATTTTGAAATGATGGAGGTTTTGCTGTATGTTAACTTGACCCAAATGTAAGCATAGTTGAAGTCTGAGACTTTTAACTATAGATTTAATAATACCTAGTTCTAAATAATATTAAATATTTTTTACAAATTTTCCCTTGTTCCCATCTTCGAGTGATACATTACCCTAAGTATCTCAATTTCTGTTCTTCATAATTGTTTTATTGCCCCTAATATCTTGGCATCATCTTTATTTTAAAGTGTAACCCAATTTGCTGTATGTCTCCTTCAGAGATAGAGGAGCGTGACAGATTTGAAATGTGCAGGGAGGGTTACTTCAGGTTTTTCACTTTTTTTGATTGGTAAACTGTATCTTCATGTGTTTTGCATTCATTTTTGCTTTCGTCCCTCTGTGTAATGACAGATAAATGGTATGTAGCATGTTCAGATCACGGTGACTGCTTTGCTAATCTTCTTTCCATTAAAATATGAAAGGAGATAGGCAAGTTAATGGAGAAAATCGGTTAATTTTCTGTGTTTAAAATAATTTATATTTTCCTTTTTCAAATATCAGAATCTAAAGAGAAGCAGAAGTGGAGATATAATTAAAGGATTTGTGCAGCTGTTTTTTAAAATTCATGAGTTGCATTAAGATCATCTAAAATGAGTGGCTTTTAAGTGTCTTGTAGCATATTTGATTACCTTTCTGCACAGGTTGGGTTTTCAGCATAGTGGAGCATGCTTATCACAGCAGAGTCAGTGAAAGAAGCAGGTCATCCCCAAGTGAGACTTCTGTGGCATATTTCCTTATTCTTTGCAGCTGGTATTTTCACATAGCTGTGGGGATTTGGGTGTCAGACTCCTCTGAAGATCTTGTCCTTTGTTTAATTCAAGGATGAACATCAAGGAAAGAGAATGTGTCTGTATTTTATTGTTCAGGGCTAAAAAGGTTTTCAAAGGTTTTAAACCTTCCCAAGACTTTTATTCCCCACCCCAGTAATGAGCATTCTGCTCCCATTTGCTCTGTCTATCTATAAAAGTTACTTTAGCAGATAACTGTTAAAATTGCAAAAGTGTAGTTTTAACAAAATAAAACAGTAACTTTTTTTAAGCAAGCAAAGTTTTCTTTCAGACTAAATAATTAAAAACCTAGAAATGGCAGTACTGGGTCAGACCAGTGGTTTGTCTAGCCAGTATCATGTCTCTGGCAGTGACCAGTGCCAATGATTCAAAGGGAATGAACGGAACTGGGCAATTTTGAATGATCCATCCCATCATCCAGTCCCAGTTTCTGGAGTTGGAAATTTAGGAACAGCGAGAGTATGGGGTTGCATCTCTGACTGTGGGACTAATAGTCATTGGGGAGTGCCTTTTCCATGAACTCAACTAATTCTCTTTTGAAGCCACTTATACTTTTGGTATGCACAGCATCCCATGGCAAGAAATTCCATGGGTAGACTGTGGGTTGTGTGGAGAAGTACTTCCTTTTGTTGGTTTTGAATTTGCTGACTATTAAGTTCATTGGTCAACTGCTAGGTCTTGTGTTATATAAAAAGGTAAATAGTCACTTTCTCCACACTATCATGATTTTACAGACCTCTATCAAATCTCCCCTCTCTTAGTTGTCCCTTTTCTGACTCTTTTGTTTGTCTCTCTTCTTGTATGGCATTTGTTTCAGTCCTTAATCACTTGTGTTGCCCTTCATTTTCCAATTCGAATGTATCTTTTTTGGGGGGATCGGGATAGCTCAGCAGCTTGAACATTGGCCTGCCAAACCCAGGGTTGTGAGTTCAATCCTTCAGGAGGCCATTTTGGGATTTGGGCAAAAATTGTCAGGGATGGTACTCAGTCCTGCTGCGGAGGCAGGGGACTGGACTCGATGACCTCTCAAGGTCCCTTCCAGTTCTAGGAGATAGGCAATTTTTTAATTTAGATGGGATGAGCAGAACTACACACAGTATGCAAGGAGGCGAATTATCATGGATTTATACAGCTGCATATTTTCTGTTTGATGTCTAATGGTTCCTAACGTTCTATTAGCCTTTATGACTGCTGCTGCACATTGAACAGAAGTTTTGAGGGAACTATCCGCTAGGGATGTTAAAATGTGTGTAAATTAAGTAACTGTGTAACCAACTGAAAATTTCAGCGGCTACACATGGGGCAGAAGTCAGCTCCATGGGAGCGGCTGTATGCAGGAAGCTGGCTTTTAAGCCAGTTCTCCATGCATACCCATTCCCACATGCTGCCCTGCGCTGCTGTCTCTTAATACAGAGGCAGCAGTGTGAGGCAGCAGGTAGCTCCCAGGGAACTGGTGTGTGCATACCTAGAGCCTTGCATTTAGCCAATGAGCCCAGGCTCATCAGTGAATCATTTACATGGTTACACTTTCACATCCCTACTATCCACAGTGGTAACTGTTAATTTCAACCATATTATGTGTGTGTTAAGATTAGGGATGTTAAAAAGTAGTTAATTAGGTAACCGTGTAGCCGCTGAAAATCTTAGTGGTTGCATGCTGTGGGCTGTGCAGTATAAAGCTTATGCTGGGTTGGGGAGCCTTGTTTGGGTCGGGGCCACAAACCCACAGAAAAATCAGTCAGGGGCCTCACAAAGCGAAAAAACTGAAACCTCTCACTGACATGGCCCCCAGCTGAGAAGCAGAAAGACATTCCCCTCCTACTCCAGAGCCTATGGGTGCCAAGCCTAGTAGATTTTGTGTGCTCCAGCCCTGTGGTGGGGCCTGGAGTGCCAGCATGGGCTTCCCAATGCTAGAGGGACCCTGAATCTCAGGTGCCGAATCGGGCTCCAGGCCCTGAGGTTCCCCAGCCCACCTTGTATTGCAGAGCCTGCAGTGCAGCTGGCTGTCCGGGAGCAGGGCTGGCAGATAGTGTGCACTGTCAGCCCGCTCCTTAGGAGCCCGTAGTATAGGGCACTAGCAGGCTCTCTGGGAGCCAGTGTGTGCTGGAAGCTGGCTTTTAAGCCAGCTCCTGGTGTGTACTGGCTCCCACCTGCTGGGCCCTCTCCTCGGGAGCCGGCTGCCACTGATACAGAGCCAGCAGCGCAGGGTGGTAGCCAGCTCCTCAGGAGGGGGGTCAGGCGCTGTCATGTTACCATTATGGCAGTCAATAAGCTTATGCTTATCAATTAACCATTTAAACAATTACAAAAATGAGTGTTTTTAAAAATTACAGCTATGAACTAATAAGATGTATTTTAGGGGGAGAGATGTGAGATCCTTGCTGCTTTAACAACCATGTTCACACACATCACTAGTTTTAATCCTTGTTGAGGCAATGCGAGTTATCTGTGTTACCTTAGCATTGGAGGTCTTGGTCTAATGAGAGCTCAGCCGTGCTAGGTTGTGGACAAATACAGAACTGTCCCTTATCCTTGCGTATCTGAAAAGATGGTGATTCTATGAAGGGCTGGGGGAGTGGGAGGCAGTCACCTATATACGTTTGAAATAAAATGTATGAATTTTTCTGTTCATTTTCATGTCAATAAATATTGAATTTGCTCAGCTGTACCTCATTGTTAGACTAGCACCAGGGCCTTCCGTCAGGGTCAGAACAAAGCATTGGCTCTCACTGAACAATATTTATCATTGTCTTTACAAAGTGTACTTTAGAAATACACAACAAAGGTGGTCCCTGCCCTGAAGAGTGTGCAGTGTATGTATCTCTCTGTAGTGGGTGGAGAGCATAGAAACTAAAACAGTGGTGATCTGTGCATAAGGGAGGAAAGAGGTGTTTGTGGGAAGAGTGAACAAGTGGCAATTGACACTGGCATCACTGGTAGAATGTAGGTGTGGGTTGTGATGAGATCAGAGTGGATAAGTAGGGAGGGGGAGAGTTGTATTGGGCCTTGGAGGTTAGACCTCTTCACTAGTAAGAGCTGGTGCTTTTCCTTGATTTGAAAGGAGGAGCAGTATCATTGTCCCCATTTTACAGATGATGAAACTGAGGCAGGTGGTGGGGAGGAACTTGTTCATGGTCACTTAGCAGGACATTGACAAGCTAGCAGTAGAACTTCCGTTCCATGAGTCCAAACTCCAATGTTCTGTCCACTAGGCCACACCGCCTCATTAGCTCCCCAGTTAGGGTTTCCACAACCAGCTCACAAGCGTTAAGCTATAGCTGCCCTGTCAGTACTGGGAATATAATATTGGTTTCAAAAATCACTTTCTCCTTGTGCAGATGTAGCCAAATTGGGGAGTGATGTGGTCAGAGTGACAGTTGTGTTCTTCATGGAGTGACTGTTTTTATTATTTGTATTAAGACCCCATTGTGCTAGGTGCTGTACAAAAGGTGATCTCTGCCCCAAAGAGCTTAGAAACTAAGACAGACAGACAGGGGAGGACAAGGAAACTATTCTACTGTATTCGTAACCAGAATGCAAAAAAGTAAATCTCAAGATACCTAGAACTGTTCATTTCCCATAGAATAATTTTTTTCTGTATTTTAACAGGCAAATAAGTTACAGTCCATTGAGTGCAGCAATTATTAGTTTCCCATGTAGAGGAATATAAGACAAATTATATAAATATTCAGTAGCCCACTTTAAGTGTCTGGCTCTCCACCTGCAAAACTTGTTCGAGTGAAATGCACCAGTTCTTACAGTGTTTGAAAATGGAAAGGAGATGAGCCATTCATTTTACATCTTGACAAAGCAGACTTGTTTATTAGAGAAACACACATTTCAGCTGGAATAGTAATTATCAGTTTTCTTCTACAGCACTGGATTAAAAACCAGTAATCCTGAGACCTCAGTCCCCTCCCTCGTCACTGCACGGACTCTGGGCTGTGAGATATCAGAGACCTCAATGTCCATAGGTAAGATTTGGGCTGTTGTCTTGTTCATCTCTGCTTTGCTACAGAGGTGAGTTCTAATAATGATTTATTGAAACATTACTTACTCCACTTTCTACTGTCAGCTGTTTTAGTCATGTTAAATATGTGTTTAAAGAGCATATAACGCAGGGGAGAGAGAATCTTAGTGTTGCTGCATTTTCAGAGCTATAGTGTCACTTCAGGTCTTTTGGATTCCTTTGTTGGTTCTAAGAGCAGATTTCCTTTCTAGCGAGAGCACTTAAATTACATCCATATTCCTCGAAGTACAGCAGCATCATTTCATTTTAGTGCAGTTGCTCAAAGCAATATTTTGTCCTTGAATGTGTTTGAAATCAACCAGCAGATCACATTATCTGTTGACAGCAAGAGAATGAAATACATAACTTACAACTGTGCCAATAAAGAATATGTCCCTTCATAAATTTCACTGTGTTTGTAAGCTGCAGGTCAGCGATTGCAAGCTATGAATCTCCTGCAGTGAATAGGTCTCAGTCTTTTGTAGGTACTGTAATTGAGTATTGTCCTTCTTTTGTTTCAATATAAGACATTTAATTGTTCTTTGCTTTCCATTAGCTGTTGGGGAGGGGGGAGAATTGCAGGTTTTTTTTTTTTTTTTTTTTGGAAGAGGGGGGAGAATTGCAGGGCTTTTTTTTTTTTTTTTTTTTTTTTTTTAAGGAGACAGAAGAGGAAAATGCAGTGACATGTCTTCAGAAATCATACCAATTTCTGAAGACTGGAGAGAGACAAGAGTGGAAAGAGTCTAGAATCAAATGCCTGAAACTCATCTACAGATGAACAAAAACTGTAATAAATCATGGACTTAAACATTCCAAATGAAAGCCTGAAAGTCAGTCACTGGATGCAAGTAATTTTAAATATGTAACTTTTTTTAAGCAAGTAAATCTCCCAGTAATCAGTTGGCTGCTCTGTCCAGCAGAAGAGAGATACAGCTGTCATTGTTCAACTTCTTAATTCCATGACAGTGAAAATAGGTGCCACTGACAAATGCAGTTTCTGTTTGCAGGAACTTAACCACTTAAGTGTGTTCACATGGACACAAAAGAAAGAAACTAAGTCCAAAACTTAAAATATCCAAAGGTTTCAGGAACATTAGAGGTAGGTTATTTAATATTGCTTTGCTTTTGTTCTGAATGGGAGTATTCTAAGCCTTGTTGCCTGCCTTTCTACTGCTTGATAACTGTTCTGTGAGCAGAATCCTAATGAAAGAGGCACTTTTAGAATGGAAAATAATCCATAATATACTAAAATGTGTGCCATTCTAATGGAGTGAGACCATTCACACAGAAGAAAAAATTTACAGGGAAGAAAATCTACAGTAAGTGGATGGCCAGCCATCAGGAACAGATTTGTTTTTACAGTCAGGAAAAATTATGGCATATGAATTTATAAATATCTAACTGAAACCCAAACTTCTTGAATATGGGCAGGGGTAAACACTATGGCACTGTCTAGTGTGTTTATTAGTGCTGTTGGTAAATTTGCTCCCAATGACAGCAGTGACTAAACATCCATTTTTTTAAAATAGTGACTCATATTTGTGCTCAAATCTGAATGTTTGACAAGGAAATCTCCAGTATGTCCAGGATTGAAAAGATTAGATTTGCATTGGAAAAATGCTGATAAAATCATGTATATGATTTCACTGCATATACATAAACCAACAGTGAGGATCCATTAGAGGCAGCAGCATGGGGTGCCAGGCAGGAGCTGGTCCACAAGGGGAGCCAGTTTAAAAAACAGCTCCCCGTCACTCTGCATTGCTGCCTCTGATACAGAGGCAGCAGTGTGGGGTGGCAGCAGCAGCCCTGTCTGTCAGGGGCCCGAGCTCCCCGCGGATAGAAACATCAACTGAGCCAGGCTATCTTCCTTGTTCCTAATACAGTTCAAATGCAGAGCCACAGCAGGGGTAGGTCCTGGACCCGCTGCAAGCCAGGACTGAGCCAAGCTGCTGTCCAGCCTGCTAAAAAATTTGCTGGCAGGGGTGGGGAGAATGCATGTAGTCTGTAGCATTAACCGATAAGCTTTTGCTTATTGGTTGATCAACTACACTGTTACATCCTTGGCACAGTTTGCTGCATTCCTCACTCTGGCTGGGGAGCACAGGAGGCAGACAAACCTGGACCTGCCAAGCTGGGGGACATGCACCCATTCCCCAGCTATGCCTTCTGCAGCTGCCATGAAGAGGCGATTCTCACCTGTCCTCTAGCTGTTGTTGTGAGAGAGGGCTAGGGTAGTCCGCTTTGCTCAGGGCAGCCTGCATCCTGAACCCCTCATCTCCAGCCCCACCATTTTATTTTCCAAAAAACAAAAATTAAGGACCCAAGCAATGCCAGGTAAGTCTTCTAGTGTTTGGCCATTTGTGTTTTTAATGGTTATGAAACTTTAACTTTTGAATCTGAACATCTACTATCATTAAATAATTATCTGACCCCCTCAATTCCCACAACTGTGAAATCTACATTGATTAAAAACTGGAAAAAATGCTTAAAATAGACGAATATATTGATAAATTATTACCATCAATGCTGAAATGATTAATCAAATTTTGCCAAGCCTCATTATATCAAACTAAAATCTGGAATTCTTTTAAGTTTCCATTTTCTTAATTTGTTTGTATCAAAACCATGCATCACTCCTTTAATTTTTTGTCTGTATATAATTCTGTAATCAAGTCAGATTTGTGATCTTATAACATCATGACAAGAAATAAGTACAGGGTTAGGATTTCATAGTAGAGTCAGTAGAAAGTGAGAGTGAAATGATACAGGCAGACTTCTTTGTGCCTTGTAATAAGTGCTGCACGCACCTTTAGGTAAAAATGAGTTAGTGATTGCCTCTTGTGACCAAGAATTATTAGGTGACACTGGGAATAGTAAGATGAGGGAGGGCAGAAGGTGAACGGGGGCATAGGCAAGGAATATGGGATTCTAAAGTTCTAGTTTCTTCAAACCCCTGTTGCAGCTAATAAGAAACATTTTCCCTCTGGACACAACACATCTGAGGACAAAGTTTGGTCCAGTTTTTACAAAATGAATTTTCATCTCTTATTAGAGTCTCATGGGGTAGCTGTGTTAGTTGGTAATTTCAAAATCAATGAGCAGTCCTGTGGCACCTTAGAGACTAACAACTATAAGTTTTCATGGGTAAAACTCACTTCATCAGATGAATTGGGAGTGGAAATTAGTCAGGTTGTATACAACAGCAAGTGGAAGCTGCAGTCTGCTTGAAGTTTTAATTGAGGGGAAAGCCACTTCTCAATTAGACGAATTTGTCTAATTTATCTCAGCAATTATCAGAATACTCTTTGATAAATATCAAGCAGAACTGCTTACTCTGACCACCTTCATATCTTTCAGGCTTGATTACAACAGCTAAAGCATGGTAGTAAATTTGGTAAGATAGCAGTTATGTTAAAAAGGGCCACCTGTTTAAAATGGGGATGTGACTGAGTAGTCGACTAGATGATTAACTGATAAACCTAGGCTTATTGCTTAATCTAGTTTACTACTTGCATTTTTCCCAGAGGCAGCAAGGAGGGGGAAAGCAGGAGCTGGTGTTGGGAGGAACTGGCTCCGTGGTGCCACCTGTTCCCGTATCCTCTCCTTCCCCCTTCCTTGATCAGAGGCAGCAGCGCGAAGTGTGGGGGGGAGAACAGGAAGGGGGCTGCTGTAAAGCAGCCACTGTCCACAGATTGTCTGAGCTCCCGACGGACAGGAGCTGCTGCCAGAGGTCAGCCCGGGCCACCATGGACAGAGGCTGCTTCGCAGCAGCCTCCCCGCTCCCCAGCAGCCTCTGTCTGCGGGGAGCATGGACCCCTCATAAACAGGGGCTGCTGCCACCCTGCACTGTTGCTTGTGTATCAGAGGCAACAACATGGGGAGACAGGCAGCTGGTCCTTGAGGGGAACTGTTTTTTAAACTGCCTGGCACCGCGCACGTCTGCCTCTGATACAGAGACAGCCATGCGGGGTGGCAGGGGGCTCCCTGGGAGTGGGGCCGGAGTGCATTGGTTGCTGGCCCTGCCCCGAGGACTACAGAATAGTTGACTAACCGCTAAGAATTCATGTGGTTAGGTGACTATTCTATTACCCATTATCTAACATCCCTAGTTTAAAGCAAACGTCCCCAAACTGATGGGAGACCATGGGGGACACTTACATTTTTACAGGTCTCTGACAAGCAGAACTTTGAATTCTAGAGTTAAACTGATATATGAAGAATATATGATTTATAAGACTGGATCTGTCCCGAGGATCATGTAGCCCAGAATCCCATCTCTAGTAGCAGGCAGTGCCCGATGCTTTTGAGGAAGGTGCAGAGAATTATTCATTTGCAGGTGTGAGCTAATCTGCCCCCAGGAGGCTCTCAGCCTGGTCTGTAACCATTACAGATTGTCTGAAGCCCTGAAGGGGCAGAAAATAAGAAAGGGTTTAACAATGGAATCTTATCTAGTAACATTGTTTGCCATTTAGTATTGAGCAACTGACATTCTACTCTATCAATACTCTGATCATAAAAGACAAATATGAATCCCTTAAGACTAGTATATTTTTCTGCCACAGAACAAGAAGCTCAAGAATTCTCAAATATTTAAGCAATGCACCTTGCAAAGTAATAAGAGATGAGACTGTGGATTGTTCTCTTCATGAATGTATCAGAGACAAATTTAAAAAGCCTCCTTTAACAAACCAAATATAGTACTTTAAAGAGATGTGTCATCCTTGATCTAGGAGAACAGGTTTGCATTCTGTTCTTTCAGTTCCCACTTAGGGTACCTTTTTGCTCTCACAGCTGCAATATGTGTCAGAGCATGAAATCCAGAAATGGATTTGGTTTCCCATGTGGCAGTTGGTTGTAAACATTTAAGTGCTTCATTCTAGCTTGACAACTGTAAGATCCCGGGTTCTGGCTGGGGGTTGTGTACCTCTTTCTCCCAGACTCATTGCTCTTAGAATCTCTAGAGCTTGAGAAATGATAACACTGTGTCCTTGAGGGTTTTTATAACAAATTTAATTTATATTACACAAGCAAGTGAAGCTTTTTCTTGCATAATCTGTTAGACTGTAATCTGGTCTGAGCAGTGAATATTTAGGCATTTTATATCCTGTAAAAACTTCAGTATGGCTACATTGATAAGCGAGACTGCAGTGATACTGCAGGTTTTGCCTCCATAACTCATTCTGACTGCTGGGAGCAAAGAAGTATGATCAAAACTGAATACAATAAATGTTCTCTTCTCCATGGCTGATATTAACCAGGGAGCGTGTTCCCTTTAGCTATCTGGAATCTTTAAATATATTTATACCCAAATCTTTTGCCATACGCAAAAGCAAATTCAGTTGTGGAAATTGTAGGGTTGCTATCTGGACTCTTCTGATGGAAATATGCAGACATGTAATTTGGCATCTTTCTTCCAAACTGTACTTTGGCTCTACTGTTTCCATGGAATTTAACAGATTTTAATATATAAATTCAGTAGTGGTAGCTTTTGTTGTTAATGCAAATGTTACTAGTTAGAAATACTGTATCAAAATTCTATTTAAGAAAGAGAATTTCTAATTTAAATGGAAAAATAAATTAAACCTGAAATCACTGGTTGGCCACACAGTTTTTCAGACCGCATTTTTAATTTGGGCTATTCTGTCATAGTTGTGGACAGTGTTTTGCTATCAGAGGGGTTCTATTTTATTGCAGTCTATACTAGGCAGGTCCCATCACACAACACAATTTCTTAGGTTTGGTGTCACAGGACTGGCAATCTTATCTTGAAAATGTTCTAGTGATTTGGATTTGAATCTGCATGAGATTGTCTTCTGTAGTTTAAGTTTTGTGACAGGTTTTTCTATGTGAGGTTTTTTGGTATGTATTAGTGAAATACCCCTTTAAAAATACTGGCATTTTAGACTGAGCCAAACCGGTGCTTTATGGCATGTGCCTTCTGCCAAGAGTTAAATGGATTGATTAATGGTTTCTGTAAGCATATTGATTCTCTCAGAATCACATATTGAATGGGTAAAGTTCTGAATTGGGAGTAAATTCCAGAGTTTCACTTAAAATAGATGACTTACCAAGGTGTAGAAGCAACAGAGCTTTGTTTGTGCCATTGGAACTGCTTTCCATGGATAATAGGTTCTTCATTACTAGACATTTTTAAATGAAAACTTCATTTTGCAAAAGGTCTGCTGTAATTCAATTAACAGTTAATTCAAGGAAGT